GATGGATATGCGGAGCAAATCCATCTGGCGGAGTCAGGTTATGAAAAGTCCCCTTTAGACTCCGTCCTCTGGACCTAAACGTCTTTCTTTTGTCTGCATTCATCAGCCCATTGGCCCAGTTTGAATAGACATTAGAAAGCCGTTTATTACAGAAAAACATCAGAATAAAAATGCATTTGCACTCAGTCTGACGATTCGTTGGATTTCTGAGTAGCTCTAACGCCCGGCTTGTGTTTCAGCCTTTCATCGGCCACATCCTGGCAGCAGAGACCTCGGCGGATCAGGATCCCGCAGGGGTCAACGTGATTCTCAGCAGAACTATAATCTGAACCAGAAGAAGGGAGATGCAGAGCTTCAGCAGACTGACGGTACCAGAAATCCTGGCTCAAGAGGAGACTTTCCTGCGTTCCTGCTTGTAAAAATTGAATTAAAACGGAGAGAAAAACCTTTTGCACAACAAACTGTTTGTATTTTCCATGAGCAGCTGCTTCTGTTCTGACCCTAACACTGTGACTTGAAAATACAGACATGATGTCACCCAGTCTGCACAATCACTACCTTATAGTCCTGCCATGTTTCTGTCCTAAAACATCAGTTTGCATGAGCGATTTATTTCCCCACAGCTTTGAAAGACTTTCCTGGAATCAAGCTGCAAAGCAAACGTTTAACTGGACCTTCTTCAAACTAGCATCCATTATTTATAAGGGAAATCACTTCAACACTGTATCACTGCATTTCACACAGGAGGTCACATACAAGTCGCATATATTTGGAAATGTGAACGGCAACGCAAAGAAATTAGATTTCAGAAAAAAATTGGAATTGAGCATCAAGGCCTGCAGTGTGAATAATATGAATGGGAATAAGATAATGAGGGAGATACTGAAGACCGGATGTTTTTAAATAATTAGTAAAACATAATTTGTAACAAAAAAAAAAAAGCAATAGATCCAAAGGACCTATCAGTTACCATGTCTGTTCCAGTGCAGATCATAATTAGAATTAATTTTAATTTTAAGCATTATTTCTTCAGTACAGGGGCCATAAAAGGGGCCAGAACATGATCTACAGGGGCACTGGCCCCCGTTGGCCCCTGTCTAGAACCGCCCATGCACATGAGGGTAACATATATAGTGGTACATGGTCGGCTTAACGAGCGCCTTCTCAGCCCCTTTGCTCGTCAGGAAAGAGGCTCATCTCCCACCAGAGCAACGAAAAACAAAGGAAAGAAACGTTAACAAATGAAAACAAATACCTTCCATTGCTCGTATGTGTGCACACCATAACAGCAGGGCAAGAAAAAACAAATTACAAAATGAAATAAATAAAAATATAACCACCATGGGGCTCCAGCCTCCACATTTTCTCATATTTTCTGTTCCAAATGAAGCCAATTTTAAAATGTTTTATAGTCTTTTGTTTTCATGTTACATAAGTCACTGCAGTGCATTAACACACATGTTCCCTCAAGCGTGCAACAAGCTGCACAGAGCCACTTTTCTCTGCACTCATCATTTCACAGACTGGATGGAGTGATCATCCGCGACGGGACGGAGCTTTTTATGAAACTTCATCACAGCTCACTGCAGTCCAGGCCAGACAAAAGGTCTCAGAGCTGAGCTCTGCTGCTGCTCCTGGACCCCGTCTGGACCAATTCTACCCTGGAAACTGTGAGGAAACTCAGTTTTTTTCTAAAGAATGATTTATCCCTGAAGCTGTAGATAAATTATATAAAAACTGGAAGTAAAATGGATGCAAACCACAAGGTTTTTAGATTATTTTAGATGTTTTTTATTCGTATTATTAATGAATTGAGCTGATATGTTGTTTGGTTTATTACAACCTTTATGAAATCATTTATCATGTTTACATTTTATCCACTCAAAACTAAAAAGTCTGTTATTTAGCAAAAAAAGCTAAGAAATAAAGTCAAGTCAGCTTTTATTGTCACTTTCTTCATATGTACAAGATATACAAGGGAAATGAAATTACGTTTTCTCTCTAGAAATATACAGACTGACGTAAAGAGCGGGACATGACAGATAACAGTGATAGACTGGTAACAATAAGAATAAGAATAACAATAATAATAAATACAGTACAAAGAACATATGACATTTAGTGTTAACATTAAATATTTAACATTGAACATGTAAAAGAAGATAAGATAAATATAAAGTATAGACATTACAATAAAAGCAATAAAAACAGCAGCAATAGTATACGTAGTGTATATATGTTGCAATATTAAATATTTAGTGGATTTAAAATATGGAAATCATCCCAGGTCAGAACCTGTCTGCAGGTGTTGAAACGGGATGTTCTAAAAAAATAAAAAATAAATAAAATTAAAGGCGTGAACGTCATATGAAGCAAATATTTCTCCAGATTCTTCCTGATGGAGACCTTCAGGTCGCCCAGAATGCAGTGAGGGATCCTTACTGTGGTTTCCTCAACGCCTCAGCAGCTCCAGCAACAGGGAGGATGTTCCGATTGGGAAGACTGACTCCGGGATATTTCCGACTCCTCCAGGTGAGGCTCTGTTACATGCTTGGAGAGATTTTAGCTACACTGGAAAAAAATCGAAATCTAAATGAGCCATTTTTTCTTAAAATAAGTGCATTTGTTCTTGGATTGAGGAGGTAAAAGAGACACTTTGCCAATGAAACAAGACAATTTACGCTTAAAATAAGAAAACACAATTGCATTGTCTTATTTTAAGTGCATTTTATATGAATATATTATTTTAAGAGTAGAAATACTCATTCCATTGGCAAACTATCTCATTTACCAACTCAAATTAAGGGTAAATACACTTGATTTAAGGAGTTTTGACTTATTTCTAGATGGTTTTTCCAGCGTAATCTCTACCTCTGTTTCAATTCTCTCACACTAACCTTGAGCGTAGAGACTGATTTATTTTAACTAAACCCAGGGGCGGATTTATTGTATTTATATTTAGCCCGACTTCCTGCTTCCCAAGTTGTTTTCTCCACTTGTCAGGCCGCCATTGTAAATAAGAACTGGTTCTTATTGATTTAAAAATAAAGGTTTATAAAAAAAAACTGATCATCGCACTGAATTGGCAACCAGATAACCAACCAAACCAACCAACTAACTAAACAGATAACCAGCTAAATCAAAACACGGCTTCCCAACCAACAACCAGCTTAAGAAACATTCAAATGTTCTGAGAAATCTAAACTGGTCCCAGCTTGGATCCCAGTGGAACCCCATTCATCCACTGGAAAATTTTTTTTAATTTTTTCTTAAAATAAGTGCATTTGTTCTTGAATTGAGAAGGCAAAAGAGACA